CTTGGAAATTGAATGAGAGCAGTATTAATAAATCCATTAGTAGTTAATTCTTTAAGATTTGTGAGTTTAGAGAAATTAGTATAATCACCAACACTATGAATTTTTGTAAGTGTAGTTAAAATATTAATATCATAATTCATTTTTGAGAAGAAAGTACATAAATATTGTAATTTTGGTGGATTAGAAAATGTAACGTTTGAATTATTTAATGAAAGCCAAGTAACAGAATTAGGTATTTTTCCAATATAATGAGAATGATTCATTATTAATTTTGATACATTAACTTGAGGAATAGAAATATCACCAACATAATAGATTGAGTTAGGATAAATTACTGATAACCAACTAATGTCATTTCTAATACTTTTAAAATGATTATAACTTGAAAAATCAATATAAACATGTTTATTATTAAAAATATTACAAAAGGATTTAAGAATAATATTTGAAGGTAAATAAGTATTAATAAAATTACTAATATCTATTATGGTTTCTGGAAATACTATTTCATAATTACCAAAATAACTTACATAAATATTTGGATCCATTCCAACAATATATTGAGAATTACAAAAAATTATTTCATTTGTATGTTTAGGAAGAGTTAATTTATTTAATATTATTGAATCTATTTGAAAACAATACAAAATAATTTTATTTATTTTACATTTTGAAATAATATTAATTATATTATTATTTACTATTTTATAATAATAAATACTAATAAATTTTAATGTTTTAATATTATTTAATGTAGTAATAACTTCTTCATTTATATCATTACAAATAATTTTTATTTTTATTAGTTTTATAAATTTATTTAAATTAAATAATTGAAAATTATTATTAATTGTTAATTCTATAATTTTATTTTCAATTTCACTTAATAATGATGGAATTGTACTTGATGTTATAATAATTTGTTTAAATTTATTTTGAATATATTTTTTAAACATTATTAATAAATTTTCATCAATTCTAATTGTCTCTATTTGAGGAAATAATTTTAATTCTTTTTGAAATTCAATATTTCTTATTAATTTTTCTGCTTTAAAAATACTAGAAATATCTTGAGAAATATTTAATGGATTAACTTTTATCATAAGCATAACATCATAACACTTTTTGTTAATAAATCCAAATTTTTCATTTACTTGAAAATTTTGATTATATCGAATAACAATTGCTAAAAAACATTTCTCTAATTTCATTTTAAAACTATTTGGATTTTCAGTTTTTGTATTATTTTAGTACTGTTTTTTTTTGTAAATATCTTCTTTTTTAAATTTTATGTGTTTTTAACGAAAAGATTATTGAATTATTTATTCTTAACTTCTTTTATTAAACTTTAATGAACCAACAAAAAAACAATAACTCTCTTATCTCTTCTTTTTTTTTAATAAAACTTATGCCATTAAACTCAAAATAATAAATAAAATAACAAAAAGTTATTTTTATTGTTTATTTTTTAGTACAATGAAGTAAAATAAATAAAAACATATCAACTTCATTATAATTTATATACATAATGGAATAATAAACCTCATGAATTGAATTAAGTTATATATTCTATTAGCTATATATATTACAATATTTTAGAAAATAATTAGAATATAATATTAGTTAGAATGTAAATTAATTTCTGAATAAGAATTTGATAGTATGAATTGGATTTATTTTGTTGGAATTACTTTAAATTAAAATATATATCATCAGTTAATACTCTATATAATGTGTTACTTTAAAATATTAAGAATTAAACTACTTTAAGAAGAATAATTTTTATTATGGATTATTAGTACTTAATCAATACAACATAATACCATTAATAAGATTATTTATCAAAACAAATTAAAGTATAACAAATAAGTTCAGTACATTTATTTGTTAAAAGTTAAACAAACTTGATATATTTACTTTCTTATTGTTTTCATTTTAAATAAACATATCTTTGTTTGAAATAAATGTTCATAATAAAATAAACTACTTCTTTTTCATTAAAAGAATTGATAATAAATACATTAAAATATACCTTACGATTAACAGATAAATACTGTTTTAATGAGTTGAAAAATTTTAATGATATGTAATGAAGAGGAGAAAATATTATTTCAGAAGTTATATTGTTTGATATATGTAAACAAATATGACTGTATTGTTCTTCGTTTGACTGAAGAAAATGAAGTGTGTTATCAACAATAAATAGACAATTATATTTAATAACTATTAGCAAACATTATCATAATACGGTTTATGAATATACTAATTATATTAAAAGCTTTATCTTTTGTATTGAATGTGTCAATTGATAGTATGAATATTCCAGTACCACTTCCAAGTACTAATTCATTCTTTCCAATTCTTTTTTGTGAAAGAAGTTCAATAATTTTTGCATTATATTCATAATTGAGAATGTTTACTGGAACATCAATTTGACTATTCTTTAACTAAATAATTGACTTCAATTAAAAATGATATTTCTTTTCTTTATAACTTCTGAGAAGTAAACATAAACTACACAAATACCATCATTAACTTTTGAAGGTTAGGTTATTGCTTTTTTAGTCTTTTTATCGTTCCAAATATATTAACAAAAGTGAATCTAAAAACAATTCATTATATAATACATCTTTGAAATTAAAAAATTAGTATCAAGTTGAACATCTTTATGAATTAAAATATATATATGTCTATGTTGTTTGAATTGGTTTTTATTGACTAAAGGTATTATTAATATATGAATTAAACAGGTTTTAAGTATTTTTGTAATTGTATGATAACAAAAATAAATAATAATATATCTGGGACTAGACGTTTATATTCTTTCATCCGTTCTGACTCTCTATTGTTTAATTTTAGTAGGAAAAGATAAAGAAGAAGAAGGAAATGAGAATGTTAAAGATAATTTGATTCTTTTTTTGAAGTAATAGTTAATATATAGTAAAATATATTATAATTAATATACTATTAAATAACAAAAAAAAGTAAATAAAAAGGGTTTAAATATAGAACTATTCATCAAAATAAGAACTTAATAAATCAAAATTCTGTTTAACTGGTTATGTCAAAAAGTGAAAACTTTAAACCATTCAAATTAAATCAACAACAAAACATTAAAAAACCTTTATTTCATAGTAATTTTACGAGTAAATTGGTTCTTGGAAAAAAACCAATTACAATAAAAACACAAAATAATGATTTAAAAAAACCTTTCACTATACATCCAAGAAACTTTACATCACATAAACCAAAAGAAGAAATTCATATTGATTCTTTCTCAATTGAAGAAGTTTCACAACATCAAAATGAAGACTATGATATTTCAATTGAGTCATATTCACAAAAAGAAGAAGAGCTCAAAAAGTATATGAAAGATGATGATGAAGAAATAACTCAATTATTAAGTCAGTCAGTATTTAAAAGAACACCAAAACCTTCTGACACTTCTCTTTCTTATGAAGAAAAAAATAATTTAACACAACCATCGAGTGATGATAGTTGGAAAACAGTTAGTGTTCAAAAATTCACTAAAGAATGTCCTCAAATTTATCATTTAGAAAATATTACTACATCATTATCATTAAACAAACAAATAGAAGATAGTAAATTGAATTCAAAAGTTTTATTAAAGAATTCACAAATACCTATTGAACAAGAAAATAAACAAAAGACATACGATTTATCAACAGAATCTTGTAGTCCAAAAATAACAACAGAGTCATTTGGTTCATTATCATTAAAAGGTATAGAATCATTATTTACAAATAAAATATTAGAACCTAACATTTTAAATAATAATACTGTTTCTTTGGAAGAAAGCCAACATAAAGAAGAACAAAATGGTTCAATGACTATTGAAGAAAATATAAAAGATGAACATAATGAACTTGAATTAGAAGATGTAGTAAGACAAGTTGATAAATACAATGAAATAGAACAGAAAGAAATATTTATTGATGACAAACAAGATAAATGGGAAAGTATGGAAATTACTACTTATCAAGAACAAAAACAGGATGATCATTCTCTTTCTTCAGCAACAGAATTATCTCAAAGATGCTCTATGGAATGGGCTAAAGATGAGTATGAAGAGAATAAACTACAAGAAACAATTCAATCAATTAGAGATCTAAAGAGTGAGTCTCGTATAGATAATTTATCTGATACAAATAATATTCAAGTAACATTATTAAATAAAGAAGATATTTTAAAACAACGAGATGGTATATTATTCTATAAGAAGTTTAATTCAATTGAACATAGTTCACAAGTTGATAGTGACTTCAAATTTGGTAAACCTTGTAATAAAGAATGGAAAATAGTTACTTATAACAAAGAACCATTTATTATCAATAAAAGTAATTATTCTATTTATCTAGCAACATGTGGTAAATTAGTTTTTTTTGCTATTAAACCATCATCTCCTAATAAATGTCCATTAAAGGTAGAAATAGATGATTGTGTGTTTATTCATAATGACCCTCCTATTTATTTTATCAATGAATGTAATATTATTGATTCAATGTCATTAAGTTCAGTTCCATTATCATTAAAACTAATGTATAATCACCATATTAAAGAAGTCCAAGTAATTGCTGAGAAAAAAATACCATGTCTTAATTCAATTGTAAATATTGACTGTGAATTTAATGAAACAATAATACTAAATTGTCAAATTGTACAACAGCTCTCATTTAATATTCCAGACACTTTATTTGGAGAAGTAGCGGCAATAGTTAAAGAAGAAGGAAAGGGATATATTTTTATTTTTCCAAAAAATACTTGGGGTTATGTTAATGAATATTGTTCAACAGAGTCTAAAAGAATGAAAGGAATTTATATAAGGGACTTATATTTAAATTTATCTACAAGTGCAGTACCAATATATAGATTTCAATGTTTAATTTAATACGTTAATTATAAGATAGTCATTGACATACTTCATTAATAAACCTCAAAAAAATTTAAGAAAAAAAGAACTTAAAAAATTTATAAAATAAATGCAAATTGGAATTGATGAAAATGATCCTAATATTCTTCATTTTAATGTTGAAATTGAAGGTGGAAAAACTTGTGATTTAAAGTATAGAATTGGTGACAATGTGTTTACAGCAGCACAAGATTTTTTAACACAAAATAATTTACCACAACATCATCTAGACACTGTCGCTCATTTCATTACAGAAAATACACAAGGGTTTAAACCACAAACAACTATTTTACCTGCTTTACAAAGAAAAAAATTCCCTATTAAAAATTATGAAAAATTACAAGAATTACTTAGAGTTGGATGTCGTACTGATAATGAACTTATTGCAATTGCTACAATGGCTCAATTCATTAAATCTGGGAAAGGGTTTTATTTAACAATTGAAATGAAAACAGCTATTGCTATTTTACTTGATTATGCTCTTCAACACCATGAAATATTACCACCACTTTTTGATCTTTTTGGAGGATTATGTCTTAAATGTCTTGATTCTGTTAAATATTTTGAAACTATTTCTGCTTATTCTCAACTTTTTGGTGTTGTCTCTTCAATGATAGATAATGGCACAATCACAATGCCTATTAAAATCATGTTTATCAAATTTTTAGCAAATAGTTTCATTACTACTCCACCTGAAATGTATATGAATATGGTTTATTCAACATATGGTAAATTATTACCATTTTTGCTTAATGAAATGACTCTTGCTGTAACTAATAATAATTTAAATATGCAAGGAGCTATTGCTGGTGTAGTTTTAAATTTATCAATAAGTGCAATTAATTCAAGTATTGCTGGAATGCTTGCAGATGGGTTATATGAATTAGCATCACAACTTTATGTTATTTCTAATGATGAAACAATTAGAGCAATTCTTTTACTTTCTATTGGTAATTTCATTAAACAAGATGTACTTGCTAGAAATGAATTTATAAAGAAAGAAGAATTAATAACAAGTATTAAAGCTTCACAAAACCAAAACATTCAAGCAATATGGAAAGAGATAAATGAATTAATCTATGGAGTAAGTAATTGAATTTTAACTATTAAAATAAGATTTAAATTTCACAGTCAATTATATTATTACTTCTCAAATGTTTGTTGTAATAAAGCAACAAGATCTTTAAATGAATTTATTTTGTTAATAGAATAGGATTGAATGAATTGAGAGATTAATGGTTGGTCATTTCTTCTATCTGAAGCAAGTTGAAGAATAGATTTATGATAATTCAGTCGAAGTTCAAATGATTTTGATCTTGTTTCAAGATCCGATTCAGTGTTATACATAATAAGAGTAATATAATATCTATTATCTACTGCTTCTATTAAATTAAAGTCATAAAGATGTTTAAATTTATCTCTACATAAAGAAGATGTACAAAATGTAATTAATGGCTCAAAGTCATTAATTATTTTAATTGTAAATGGAGTTGGTTTTTTACACATCAATGCCATAACATTTTTTGCATCAATAAAATTACCACTTTTAAATGGGTTAGAGAACCTAATATTAAAGTAACGAGTTAAACAATCATTGTGTTGACTTTGAGTTAAAGTTGTTAAGAAAGGAACATCATTATTAATAACTGAAGGAATTTTTAAGAAAAGGTCAGGTCGAATAATAATTTTATAACACCTTCCTTCTTGAGTTTTTGTTGGATTAATAAAAACAAATTCAATCATCAATAAGAGATGAATCAGTGATAATAATATTTTCATATATTTTTCAGCTTCAGATATTTTAAATTGAATTGGAATTTGTTTTAATGTATCTCTAAAGACTTCCATAGGGAATTTTTTCTTTCCAATAGTATCTAACCAACGAGAAAAGAATGACATAGTTTTTTCTTCTAATTTAGTATTAAAAGAAAATATCATAACAAAATTTTGTTGAGTTACTTTTTCATTTTCGGTATTAACAAAAATTGTTACAGAAGTAAACTCGGTAATAGATATTGAAACACATGATGTATTAATTGAAGAAAATAATTTTATTAACCCATCAAAATATAATACAAATGATGAAAGACTATTTTGAATACATCCACAATCTTTTAATAATACAGTTTTTCTATTTGATATTTCATTATCTGGTGAATCAATAAAATCAAATTTTATTAATTCATTTAAATGTTGATATTTTTTATCAAGACTAACAGTAAATTGAACAGAATCAAATGTTTCGGATTCAAAACAAATATAAAATCCATTAAATGATATTGTATTTTCATTGAAATATTCTACTTTATCAATAACTTTATTTACAAAGGATATTAAATGAATAAATTTAATCAATCTTTTAACATTTCTTTTAACATCTTGTTCTACATCACTTTTTGGAACAGATAATTTCATTTTTTTATCAATTAATTGAAATCCTTCTCCACCTTTAAATTTGTTTAAAATATTAATTGAACAATTATTTAATTCAACTATCATAGCAAAATTCCTTTCTTCTGGTGGTTGTTCTACAATAACAACAAAAGGTAAATTTCTATTTAAAAGAATAAATCCAGTTTTATTTTTTAGAGATGTAACAAGTGTTGATCCTGTTGTAGATATTCCATTAAAAATATCTTTAAAACATTCTAAATAAATCTTTGTTGAATATTTAGTGTATGACTCTTGACAAAAAACTGTTATTTTCTCAACACATTTCATTGAACTAATGTTATTATTAAATACTTCTTTTGAACATGAACAATAATTAACACTTTCCCCTTTAAATCCAACACAAATTAAATTTTCTTCAGGTGTTTTAGAAATAATAAAACATAAATATCTATTCTCTGATACCTGAATTTTAAATGGTAACCCAGAACATTCTTTATAATTTTGGTCTTGTATATCAATACATTTTGGCTTTAATATTTCTCCTTTAATTTGTTCAAATTTATTTGTATGACCAGCAATTAATTTTAATGTATCTTCATTTAATATTTCTAAATGCATTTTTTTAAAGAATGTTTTTGCTACTATAAATGTTTGTAAATAATGTGCATGTATATAAAGATCTTCAAATAAATAATTACTTTTATCAATATTTGTCGTTGAAAATAAATCAGAATAATAATTTAATAATTTTTGAGAAATATATGGTGATATTAAATTTATTTTACCTGTAAATGGAGATACACTAATAGTATTTAATACTGGTTCTTTTGTTTGTCCATTTTTAGATAATTGTTCATTCATCTTTTTCTCATATATTATAGCACTTTCTTTTGAAACTAAAGATAATTGTTCTTCTAATGAATAATTAAGATTCTATAAATTAGTATGAATATAATTACTTAAATAAATGAAAAAAACAAACAAAGAGTGTTGAAGGTAAATTAGGACTATGACTTATTTCAATTGATGTTGTTAAATTATTTAATCGATATTCTAAACAATAATTATTATTCCAATAAAATATTTGTAAAACACGATCATTATTAATTATAACAATCTTTGATGTTATATGAGGATAAAGAAGTCTTAAAGAAGGTGATTGACTTTCTCGAAATAATGAATCAAAATATTTATTTTTTGAAATAATTATTAATTGATCAATTAATGTTTGGATTGGATTTAATGAATATTCTGGTTGAGTTCTTAAATTCCGATTATGTAAATTAATAGTTTCATCTGATGCAACAGTTTCATTTGGTGTATAAAAATTTAAATGAACAATTTTCCATTTTAATGAATCATTATTAAACAACGCATCTAAATTTGCTATTGTTAACCAAACATTAAATGAATTTCTCACATATAAATATAACATTCCACCAATAACATTAATACTATTACAATCAATAGTATTATAATTTGTATAATAATATTTCCATATCCTTCTTTCAATGAGTGTATTAATTTTATTAAAATTAGGTAGACAGACTGGAATGGATGGAAGAGGGTATGTAGCTTCAAGAAGAACTTGAAGTGCAATAGAAATTTCAGGAATTCTTTTTCTCATTAACACATCTTGTTTTGCATTACAAACCAATTTTTTTACAGTTGTATGTAATTGAATAATTGACTGTTGACAAGTCCAATTAAAATTATCAATGTCATGAAGAACAGGATTCCGTCCTAACCACCGTGTCAAAACAAGTAATTTTCCAAGTGTATGAATTCCACATTCTAATGCTTGAATTATTTCATCTCGTTCTCCAGAATTAATTCCTTTAGAAATATTATGTGTTAAAGAAGCAATGGTATTTTTAATGATTGTAATGAGTGATCCTGTTTGTGTAGTGACTTCCATTGACTGAATATTTAAGTTGTTCTTCTTTTTTTATCTTTTTAAATTAAAAAACATTTTTAGTGTTATTTTGTTATATATATCATTATTTATTATTTTAAATTAATTTGTTTTTATTGTATTTTTTTTTTGTTATTAAAAAAAGAAGAATATTCCGAATAAAATTTTCTCTCTGTAATACAATTTTAAAAAAGTATTGATTTGTTTGTTGGCATTTGAATAATATAATATTAATATTTACTATTTGAAAACAAATAATTTTTGTTTAGACACATTTGTAATACTTCTATTAACGATAAGTATTTTCATTTGATATTATATAACACAAAATCATTAAGTTTTAAAATTGAAAAAATTATTACTTGTTGACTTAGAACTCTAAAAAATAAATAAAACCCAATGTCTTCAATACAATTAGATAAATCATTAATGCCTGTTGTTTGCCAATATATTACAGAACCTACAGACTTATTAAATATCATTCAAGTTTCAAAAAAATTTAGAGAAACTCTTGATAGTTATACCTCTAATCCTATTCCACTCACTGTTAAGAACAGAAAATTATTCACTAATATAACTACTCAAAACATTCATTCTCAATTTGAGATGAGGTTTTTTGATGGTAATATTAAGAAGTTTTATATTCTTTATCCAGTAACTTATAACGCTTTTTTAAATGAAAAAGAAAATGGAAATGAATGTAAAATAGTTACTTATACTACAAAAGATAGAAGGCGCTATGGAAATGAAATTCCTCCAATGATATCTGTTATTGAACAAAAAGCATTTGATGGATGTGAACTTATAACTTCTATTAATATTCCACCCTCAGTAAAGATTATTGATAATGAAGCTTTTAATCATTGTCCTTATTTAACATCAATTGTTTTACCATCTTCACTAAAACGTTTAGGCTACATGGCTTTTGGTGGAAGTTCATCATTGACACGTATTGAAATTCCTGAGAGTGTTACAAAAATTGATACTTCATGTTTTGGAGGATGTGGAGCAACTGCAATAGAATTACCACATTCATTGTCATTTTTAGGAAAAACTGCATTTATTGATTGTACTAATTTACAGTCAATTACTTTACCTTCAACAATTACATCTCTTGAAGGAACATTTAATGGATGTTCAAGTCTTAAAGAAATTAACCTTCCTTCTAAATTAGTTCAAATTCAAAGTCAAGTATTTGAAGGATGTTCTTCATTAGAATCAATTCATATTCCATCAACAGTAACATGGATTGGTTATAATGCTTTTAAAGGTTGTGGATTAACATCTATAGAATTACCACCTAATGAAGATGGTATTGGTTGTTATTGTTTTGCTAATTGTTCAAAATTAGTATCAGTCTCAATTCCATCAACTCTTTCTTGTGTAAGTAGTATGTGCTTTGCTAATTGCGTTTCTTTAACTTCACTTCATTTACAAAACCAATCTATTAAATTAAAGAAGAGTTGTTTCTTTAATTGTTTAGCACTAAAAGAAGCATGTCAAACAGTACCACTTTATTGTTTTGATGACACTGAACATATTGGTTGTTGAATAATAATTGAATAACAATTAAATTTTGTTATTTATTTTTTTTTTAAACCCTTTTATGTTTTTAATAATTGTTTTTAAGAATAACATTTTTTTTTGTTATAAAAGAAAAAAAAGAAGGAAAATCAAAGAACTCAAAAATATAAGAAAAGAGTATTTTCTAATATGAGTCAATCCCATATTTTCCTTATTAAATCAATACAAGAAATATGCCAATGTGTTCAAAAGAAACAAAATAA